CAGAAAATCTTCAATGCCAGATACTCAAGAAAGTAATGTTGAAACGAATGTCGATGAGCCCATTTTGTTACAGTGACATAGATAACGTTCTACATTCTCGATTTCTTCTATATCGACCCATTGCGCAGAAGTTAGCTACGCTTACACGCAGGCTCCGCAGGCTATCTTCTTTTGGACGTAAATAGATCACGTCTTACGTTTCGATATGGAGGCTATGCTCAAATTTTGTAGTTGTAATTTTTAGATCTTTACGGAAACGCTTATTGCACGAGAACTAATGAAGCGATTTGAAAGAAAAGTCTGACGTTTCAAAGATATAATTCCAAACCTATCGACAGGTTAATTTTTGTAAGTGACCAATTCGGCGTCTGTCGTAGAAACGACGGTAAATATTGGGTTATTTTGGGGTCAATTTTGAGCCTTTAAAGTACTCTAGCAACTTACGACAGAATTTTAGGATCAGGCTTCGAAAATGTTCTTTAATGACAGCTTGGAGCGCACATACCAGCGCTACCCCCGACACGATATTAAATCTTGTTTGTAGATTTCAATGCCAGGGGGAGACAAGAAAGGGAAATATTACTAAAGGTCCGCGGGATGAGGACTGCTTTGAAAGCCGCCTTCGACTCCACGTAGTGAGTGGCCTATTTGGTATCCCCTCCAAACAAAGAATTGGGAAAGATCTCTTAGAGCCGTTCGGTGCCATATGAGGTTTCAGATAGTTGACTATCTATCGGATGACTTCTTCGTCTAATGCTGGATAAGATCGGCCTTTTCCAAGTTGGTTACGAACGCAAAGCATATGAATCGTTTTCTATTTACATAATATATACGAGAAATATGTATGTACCTTTACATTTCAGATAACGTTTTTAAAACGATAAAATTTACGATCGATCACTACTAATTTAAAGAACAAAATTATATTATTACACAGGGCAACACTGATTTTGGTGCGGCAAATGTTAAATCTGTTTTTGATAGACTTTTTTGAGCTGATTACGAATCCGTAATTATAAAGATTCCATCATGTACAGATTTTGAGAAAATCGTGGTCAAAGTGTCAAAAAATCGGGTTTTTTTCAATATTTGAGAAGCTCGAGCAAAGAGTAAAAATGTGGTAGAGCCTTCCACTTAGGCTTAACTTAAAGCTAGAACCCTAGGCTACTGCCCCTGAAAATACCATCCCTGCACCTTTACTTGATGGCCATTTATAGGCATTTGTTGAACAATAAAAAAAATGCTGGCAAATTGTGCTATTGAAAAAAAAATGCTGCCAAAATCAGTTTTTGCTGTTCAATAAACGACTATAAGTGATCTTAGGGTCAAGACGAAGAGATGGTATTTTTAGGGATTGTAGTCGAAGCCTTAATTTAAGCTTAAGTGGAAGGTTCTATCACCTTTTGTTTAATTGCGGCAGGGACTCAAACTTCGCCAAAAGTCAAATTTTACTGCTCAATAAATGACTATAAGTGACCATAAATTCAATGTGCAGGAATGGTATTTTCAAGGATAGTAGTCGAGGGTTCTTGCTTTAATCTAAGCCTAAGTGGAAGGTTCGATCACCTTTTTACTCTTTGCTAGAACTTCTCAAATATTGCAAAAGCCCGATTTTTTGACACTTTGACCTCGATTTTCTCAAAACCTGTACGTGATGGAATCTTTATAATTACGGATTCGTAATCAGCTCAAAAAAGTCTATCAAAAACAGATTTAACATTTGCCGCACCAAAATCAGAGTTGCCCTGTGTAATAATATAATTTTGTTCTTTAAATTAGTAGTGATCGATCGTAAATTTTATCGTTTTAAAAACGTTATCTGAAATGTAAAGGTGCATGCCTGGAAAAATTAAAATTATTGAAATTTTAGTAGATCAACTCTTTTTTTTTGTAGCGAAGTTTTTCGTAATTGGAACACCGCCCGGCGAAAATTAAAAAAAAATTTTAAAACAGACGAGACAATCGATATACTAAAGGAACTATGGGTCAAATGTAGTAAAACTGCAATTTTAGTATTTCACTCTGACTTCAGAATTTTGTAAGGATTTTGAAATTTCAAATATATGATTAATTCAAAAAATTATTTTAAAAAAATCAGTACAACATAGAATAACATTATGGGTACCAAATGAAAGAGAAAATTCCGTACAAGGAAAATTTTTGTTTTTTGGTACACAAGGACGAATAGGTATTGGAAATGCCCTCTAATTAATTTTGTTTTCTTAAGCTAGTAAAGTTAGGACGACGATATTCGAGGATGTGATCGTGTGTATATTAGTCCGTAACATATAATTTTTTCAAAAATTTTCAAGGATATCCAAGAACCCACATTGTTGTTCTACATTGCAATGGAATTATTAAATAATTTTTTGAACTAATTATATTCTTTAAGTTTCAAATTTGTTTTAAAAAACCCTCCGGTCAGAGAAAAAAAGAACTAAATGCGCATTTTCACTATATTTTGCCCATAGTTTCGTGAATATATTGGTTTTTTTGTATGTCAAATTTACTGTCGCGCGGTGTAGATCACAACATCTTTTTTCATTCACCCCTTTTTAAGTTAATTTTGCGAAATGTCTGAGACCTTTGAACAAAATGCCATAACAACGCTAATCTTCGGTTAAAATAAACAACAACAAATATCCACTATTTACGCCAATACTACGTAAATAGTTTTCTCTCAAAAGCATTTGCTGTCACCTATTGTGAACGAAAAACTTTCTTAAAAAACAACTTTCATGCGCTTTATGAGTGCGTGCCGACTGAGTGACGATGACATTTGAATGGTGAGATGTGACCCTTTATACCCTTCATTAACACAAACAAATCAACAATGGTTAGTTTCTTAGCCATTCGTCACTGTTGTGAGTTTAAACCCATTTTGGCCAATAATGCCGCCGCTCCATTACCATGCACAAAACCATTACATAAATAACCATTAAGCGTCCAATTAACAATTCAATCACGTTCGGTTCATATAAAATTTCATTAATGTTGAATTCATGTTTATTTTGGTTATTTGAGTGAAGAAAACGGAGCGAGCGGATTTAGTGTCTGCTCTTTGAGTTTCAATTGCAATTGAAGACTTTTTCTTTTTTTTTTTTGTATGAAAAAAGTTCATTTACCTCGCATGAGCTTTAGTTAAAGAAGTAGCCAAAAACTTTAAATTTCAAATCAAATATACAAAGCATAACTCACCCATTACAAATACAACGGCAATGACCAATGTTGACAATTGATGTTGCTTCAACATGTTGCTTGTTGACTGCTGGGGTTGCGAAGTGTTTCTGCGACTCTCTTTGTAACTCCCTTCGTTTTTAGATGCACTGTTTTTGCTCACAAGATTGCGTGTTGGTTTTTTTTTATTATTTTGTGTAAATCCTTTATTACAACAATTTCGCGTACTTCTTTTTATCAGGTTGGTTATCTTTTATTGGTTTGTTGCGTTGTTCGGTTATTCATCAAACACTTTTTTGCCACTTATGCATTTCTGTGTGTGTGTGTATGATTTGTATTTATTTCCGGTCGTAATTTCAATGAACTTTCACAATTTCACAATTTCTTTTATGTTTCTCCGGCCACTTTTCTTTAATGAGATTATTTATAAAAAAAAATTAATGTTTGCTATTGAAATAAGTGCTTCGTTTTCTTCGCTCATAAATGGTTAATTGTGTTTTCACTAAATTAATGATCTACTGAAAGCGCACCCACAAAAAGATAAATGAAAATAAAAGAAAAAAATTTAACAATAACTAGCACTTAAAGTGTGAAATGTGTAAAAAATAAAGCATTTAATAAATTGAATAACTCGGTGTAACTAAGTAAAGGTAAATGTTTTCTGTCCTGAAACTATGGAATTTTATTGTAGCTCTTTATATAATTCAGGGATTCGCTTGGCCAGAATCTTATTTAGTCCTAAAAAGCAGAATTTATCTTTCAATCAAAATGTTTTAGGTCAGGAAATTATTGAGGTTTTTCCTCCATGATTTTCAACCTTTAAATACTGGTTTCGGCCTGGTGATTTTTAAACAATCGACAAAGAGCGCCCAGGAAGGCCATCAACGTTTGTAAACGCGGAATTGACTCAAAAAGATATTTTATTGTGATTGAAAGGCATTGGTATGGTCCAAAAAATTCGGAACCTGAAAAAATCAGACGATCGACGGGGCACTCTACAGAGAGCAACTGAAGCGATTGAAGGGAGCACTCTCGCAAAAACGGCCGAAATGGGCAACCAGAAATGAGTCTTCCACCATAAGAATGCTCGACCGCATATTGCACAAGTGGTCACACCTTATCCTCCTAATTGCCCACACCTTGCATCACCCGACTAGCATTTATTCCAGTCAATTTAAAAGGCCCTTACCGAAGTATGCTTAACTTCAGTTGAAGGTATACAAAATTGGCTTGATACTTTTTTTGTCTACAAAGCCAACAAAACTTCCCTATCAACAGTCGGACTCATTTAAGAGTCAAAAAAAGTCTCAGAGTTCTGAATTGTATCCCTTATTATGAGCTCAAAAAAGAGTCAGAAAAGAGCATATTTCCCCTCATAGAAGGCCACGCCAATATGAGTCCGAGTTAAGAGTTATATTAGAATCTGAAATATGACGCTTTCTGATTTTTAAAAAACAAATATTCTTTATAATTCTGATTATTAATAAAACCAAACCAGGGGACAAACGAAGCGACTAGACATTTTGTGAAAGTAGTGACGAACCTTTACGCCTGGCAATCGCTATATAAATATATGGATGTCCAACCTAAAAATTTACCGAGCCCCGGAGTTGTTGAATCAAATTAAGTTCAATACAAAAATGTCGAATTTAACTTCTTCATTAAAAACATAATAGCAATTATAACAATATGCGAAAAACTAGAGACTTCCTCTGCACTTAAATTGTAGGCAGGAATGGAAAATGAAATTTTTACATTGCACATTGCTCCTAAAAAAATTCCATCTCCTTTTATAAGTGTACATTTCCACAGTTCGTGATTTCCTTTTGATTCAACGAGAAGAGCCGGCAATATTTAGTAAGACATTATTTCATAGCTTGGGACCGTTACAGGGCCCATACGGTCGTGTTGCACAATTTTAGCTCCGTTAAAAATGGGAATAATCTCTTCGCGCCCTTCGAGGCAAAGAGATGCTCTGGACCAGAGTCTCATTTTCGTACGACTACTTTAACCTGCTATTGAAAATTAGATCACTTACATGCATACTTCTAAAATGAAGCACCTCGGCTCTTACACAGTGATGCTGCAATTATTTCTACAGAAAGAGTCATTGAGAGATAAATCTTATCCTCCTTCCTTAATATCTGTGAGAATGCAACATTTTTCGGTAGAAAGAAAACGTCATAAAAATCATTAGCGAGCCCTTTCCTAGATTGGAGAAGGAAGAGAAGTTTTGGTTGGTTGTATGCTTAACGAGTTAAAAACAATGCAACTCCAGGCACAAATGGAGAATTTTCACACATAAAGGCACTTGTCGCTATTGGCAGCTACAACTTCAAAATTGTAGATAACCAGGATTAATACTAGAATGGTCCAAAAAAAATTAAATTGACGGGGCAATGCGGAAATCTGGTGTTAAACAAATTACACTAGCAAAATGCCATTTTCAAAATTAAAGTTGATCGAAACCCGAATTCGTACGCTCTGAGAAAAATTGCTTTCTAAAAGTACAGTATATTTTGCTTTGCTGCCTTTATGCTTAAGTGCACATTTAAGATACCTACCCCAAAATGCGCATCTGAGACATTATTTTTAACATTTATAAGGAAAGTGCTCCGATAGATGCATTCAACATACCTGCCCATTGGCGATACCTGCCTTAAAAATTGTGCAACTAACTAGTATCAATTATCAATTAACGTTTACCTGCACTGGCCCTACAATTACCTAATTTTACAAGCTTTTATTTATTTTCCTCATATCGCAGAACAACGAAAATGGCTATCAATTTATGTAGTTATATATATAATAAGATACCATTCGAAAAAAATTTCGCTTGCATTATTTTCTACGTGATAAGTGCTTCTCCATTATTTGGTTTCATAGGGATTCGGATACCTTCCTCATTGAAGTAGTAAAGAAAATTCGCTTAAGTGCCTTTTTCGGTTAGGTGCACAAGTTTTTCGTGCAAAGAAGGATGTGCAGCTAAGCAAAATATACTAGAATTCCGACTGGTATTACAATTTTTTTCTTCGGCATTTTTTCGCATACAAAAAAAGTCTCACGCATTCGTTATACGGAAAAAATGCGCAACATCATCAGCGAAAAAAATTCTCAAAAATCAACGGTAACTTATAGACATTTAAACCTTGCACTTTTTGGTACTGAAATTGAATAAACTACAAAACTGCATACCCAAAGTGTGGTGCCATTAGATGCAAAGTGAACTATATTTCTATAAACAATTAACAAACAAATTTATTATGAAAAATAAAAAAATGCACTGTATTCTGGGTGTATGCATATATTTACAGATAGATACAAGTTTTAATATGTTTGGAAAGCGCCACGCCCCCTTTTCCAGTAGCCCCAAAATCTCTGTGCCAATTTCCAGGACACTACTACAAATATTTACAGAGATATACGCTATGAAAAATTCGATATGTATGGGTGATGCCACGCTCCCTTAATATATCGAAAGTCTGTAGAAGGTGTCAAAAATTTCAAAAAATCGGTACAGTCCTTCGTGAGATCACAACTTTCGTGCAAATTTCGAACTTTTTTAAAAATTCTAAAAAATCAAGCGTAGTTTTTAGCCATTTGAAACTTGTACTTTATTCTACTAGAATTCAATGCTCTACAAAACTGCATACTCAGAATCTTAAGTATTTTTCTTTTAATCAACATGTGTTGAAATAAAAGTGAAAAAAAATAAAAAATTTTCCATATTTCAAATTCAAAAGAATGCCATAAAATTCACTGGCACTGTTTTTCAAGTAGGTAAATGCCCTGCTAATATCTCAATTGGAATTTATGAAAACAATTAGGTTCATTGCGAGAGTGTTTATTGCATGCCAGCGAATTTTCGAAGTAAATCCAATTTTGGGCACTTGCGCGCTTGCTTGTTTTCATAACAAATATGTATGTACCACATAAATCTGAGTAAGTAACTTAATAGAACACATAGTCATTATATCATTATTTTTCATTTCTTTTAGCCTTCAAATTATCCTATGACGCCTTAGCAAATGCATGAGTGCCAAGCCAAGCCTTCAAAATTTGCAAGTGATCTTTTGCTACACACTTCCGCATATACATATGTATATACATATATGTAAATCAGTTAATTTATTAAGGTATTATTTTCCGTTATGTACAATTTGCAAATATCATTACCGCACTGCAATTATTTTCTGAGTCGAATGCACAAACCTCAACCACGATCGATTTGAACCGCACTGCTGTGAAACTCGTCTGTAACTGAAGGTAAAAGTCGGACTCTCAGCTTAATGAAGCGCCTGCCTGTTCAGTCAGCGCTTAGTGTGTGGCTCCAGCACCAAAAAAATTAAAATACATAAATGGGAAATAGGTAAGAAAGCAAAAAGATTAAATGTTCGATGCTGTTGCTGACAATCGGACTACTGCAATGGTTGTGGCTGTGACTTTAGCCGCTTACACCACCACCACCACCACCGCCAATGTTGTGGTAAGTGCCTTTGAACCACTAGCACAGCACCACCACCAGCCCACCAGCTACTTGGCAGCGGTACGCGCTACAACTTTAGCTTTTTGTACATATGCGCGCTCATACGTACTTAGATTGTGTTGTCGGCATTCAAAGCGTGTTTTATGTCGTCAACGCGTACAATTTCCATTACTTACCAGCCAAACAGCTAACCAACCAACCGAGCAAGCGACTTCGTTATGCCAGCTTATTACAGTGTACTTATTGCTGCACTCAGGCATGATTTTTTCTCATCATCAATCTGTTTGTGTTTTTTTTTTTTTTGTACCTTAACTATTGTTTATGTATTTTTGGTTGTTAAGTATTTTCTAGATTTTTTCAACTGATTCAATTATGATTTTCTTTAACATTGAGCTGTGCAGACAATACAGTTAGTTACGTTGTTGAAGTTGGTGCGTTAACATGGCAATGTTTAATTGTTAAACACATAATTAGGTACTTGAACATATGTATGTACTTATGTAAGTACATATGTAATTATACATACTACTTATTTAAATGTATGCAACTACAGTAAATTTACCCAAATTCCTGCACTGGTATGGAGAAACGAGCGGCTCGATTCCTGGTAACACATAAAATGTACTTGCGGTTTGGTTGCACGCACCACTGCTGGTAGTTTCAACTTTGAAGTAGTGAAGAACTTTGTCTACCTAAGATCCAGCAAAACACCACTATTCTTTAACATCTCTGAGTCTAAAGTATTTTTTCAAGGCAATTTCGAAATAAGTTAATAGGTAAAAAATCTTTTTAAAACAACCTTTCTAAATATGAACCAAATCGTACCATAAATATGGGTTATCCAAATATCTCGGCTCTCGCTTTTTGTTATTCCTTTTCATTTAAGTAATACATATTACAAATGTAAAGTAAATCAAATCATATACATTGGCAGGTTTTCGAAATACGTTGACCCCGTGCCACCTGCCGGCTACAACCAAATCGGACTATAAATTCGTGTTTTTCAAATATGTTCTTGTCTCGGGGGGACAGTTTTTTTATTCCAAAGTTCCTTGACCTCAAGTAACCCATTCTAGTACTTACCCACTAAATCTCAGTTCCTACCTCCCAATCATAGCACCCTAAGGTCATTGAAATAAAGCTCTCAAAATAACATTAAAATTTTGTTAAATTTTTAAACTTTTTTATTCGCTTGTATTACGGTGTATTGCACATTGTTAAGCGCATAAAATTACAACGCGCTGGCTTGGGCATGTTGTAAGCATGGATGACGACGCTCTATGAAAAGATGAACGGAAGAGAAATCAAGGGCGCCCAAGAACAAAATGGAAGGACCAAGTGCAGAAGGTTCAAAGGAGAGAGACAACTGGCGATTTTTTTTTGGTCTCGGTCCAAACCGGTTTTGGTTGGTTTTGGTGCCAAGCAAAAGCAAAATCATTAAATGCAAAAAGTGGAAACTTCCTATGGGAAATATACTTTCTACTTGTTTTTTTTTATGGTTTTTGGTGTTATACTACTTAGTTTTAGGTTAATATCTTAATATTTACATGTCGCATCGAAGAAAAAATTAACTTGGTAAATATTAGAGTATTGACGTTGTCACGGAAAGGGGAGGACCTCCAGTTTTACGCCGCCTCCGAACGGCGATAGTATTTTTATGAGAAGCTATTTTTGTGCTTAAGATGTGCCATTGCCTGCCAAGGGCCGCCGATATTAGAAATGATTTTTTACTTATTGATGTTGGACGAAAACTGGGCTCGAACCCAGGCTCTGCGGAATGGCCGCAGAGAAGAAAGACGCTGCCTACAAGGCCACGCTTCGATCGTGCTAGAGCGTTATCAAGAGTTGAGGAGAAAGAGATTTGTATTATGAGAAATAAGGCCGAAATGCGTGAGTGCGGAGAGCTTAAGAACAAATCGCCCACCCTCCATTTGTTTGTCGATTTCAAAGTCGCTTTCGGCTGCACGGAAGGTTGATGCTTTTGCGCGATATATGAATTTCGTATACCCGCTAAACTGATAGGGCTGTGTAAAATGACGTTGAGAAAAATACACAGCTAAGTCAGAAATGGGAAGGTCCCCTCGAAGGTGTTTGATGCCAAATGAGATTTCAGAGAGGGCGACTACTTTTCGTTTCATTTCTTTAATCTCTTTTCCAAGTTGGATATGGAAGCAATGCGAATGGGCTTGGTGGTAAACAGGCAAAATACGAGTGACGTTCCGACACCAGTTCTCCAAGTACTGAGTATTTTGTGTACTTCGATCCGCGAGTACAAGTAGTTGGTGGTTATCGAGTACAATGTGCCAGTATTAAGTAATTTGCAAAAATTGTGAAGATGCAACTGAAAATAGGTATGTGTTGCCACAGCTAAAAAAATTATATTTTGAGAAACGGTTTGGCCAAGTCTGCCACTCACTTGTGCTAGGGTTAAGTCTAAATTAACGCATAAAAGCGGAGATCAAAAGTTTTGGATAATCAGAGGAGGATCGAGAATTTGTTTTGGAAAAGAAATTTCAATAACAAGAAAACGATGAGCTTCCTCATTGCTTAACGTCCACTGTTTCACTACTTAAAAGTAACCTCGTTTCAAAATAGTAGGACTTGGAAATCTATGCGATTTTTCACATTTCTGCATTCGGAAGCAAAAATACTACAGATAAAAAATTACAGTAAAATCGGAGCACAATTGAAACATTTCACCATAATCTATATGCGGCTCTTCCACTGTGTGCCGTCTGTTCCTTGTGAAAGACTGTTTTCTATGACAGAAACTTTAATTTCACAAAAAAACGCCTTTCTCGACTATATGTTTTAATATTGTATGTGATCATTGAGCTAAAATTTTGCGTCTGAGTACAAGTAGAGTCGAGTATTTTGTAGCTTACTTTGAGTAACATCCAGTACTCTCTTCGATACTCTTACTGAGTACAAGCATCCAGTCAGGGGCGCACCCAGAAATATATTTTGGGAGGGGTTTATACTTCCAACGGTATATCACCAGAAAATATTGAAAATTGGCTTCAGATAATACGTTGTTTAAAATATATTTATGCAAGTTTTATATACAGTATGTAATAAATAAATAAACTTTTTAAAGTTTCATAAATTGCACTTTATTTGCATAAAATTAACAAAGAACGCGAACATTTTCAACCGACTTCAAAAAAAGGGGAGGTTATCACTACGTCGGAGTATTTTTTCTTTTGTATGTATGCTACCGCATAACTTTGGACTACGTGAACCGATTTCAATAATTTTTTTTCGAAAAGATGGTACCTCAAGGGTCGTCCCGTAATTCGGTTTAGATCCGATTATTGGATCATGAAGAAATCAACATGACTCTTAAATTTCTATATGAGAATTGAAGTCTGTTTATTTTTTGCTTAAAAATTAATTGTTTAATAAAAAGTTCTCTAAACACAAGATGCGCATAACTTTCAAAAGTAATAAAAAATTTAAAAAAAAATTAATACAAATAAATTAATAAGTTCCATGAAATTTTTAAACTTTTATGTTCATTTTCCTAGATTTCTGGTTTCTGGTTTTCTATAGAGATTATGTTTTTTTCGCGATTGACAAATTTTTTTAATTCTAATTTTCGTTGTTGGTGTTTCCGACAGGGTAGGAGTGTGATGTAATGTGGAACGATTTTCCGACATCCCTTGTCAAATTTGGTTTGGAGACAAACCGGTTTCGGCGTTGTGCCTTCTTCAGTGTCATTTTTCGTTCTCTCGTTGTTGGTGTTTTTTTAATATTTCGAATGGAGAAAAAAAAAACTGAACTTGTGCTCATTTTGGTGGAACGAACTCGAAGTTGGCAAATTAAATTTTCGAACTCTTGTTAAGTGCATATCAGTGGTAAACTCTTTTAGGCTGTAAAGTGTAAAAAAACAAAACAGTAATTTGGTATGCATTGCGTATTTTTAGGACGATGTTTTCATTCGCAGTTAAGCTTTAAAGAGTTCTCAAGTAAAACGAAAAATGCATACATACATATGTATAAAATTATGCACAAGAAATAGAAAAGAAATTTTCCTCTATCAAAATTTCTTAAATCAGTTTGCAGCTTTCAAGAAAAAAATGCTTGTGTATTTATTTCCTCAAGAAAATTTACAGCACAAGCAAAGTGCTTTTTCAAACAACAGAAATAATAAAAAATCTTTCTGGTGATTTTTCTTGAGAGCTGTAAGCTTTAAGATACAATTTGTATTTGAGGCTATTAGCTTTAGGGGGGTTTGAACCACAAAACCCACCCCTTGTGTGCGCTAATGCATCCAGTGCATGGTGATATCGGACGATCACAAGGCAAGATGACAAGACTTCAATTTTCCACTGTACACCTTTCAGACGAGAAGGAAAAAACTAGCCGGACGGCTATCGACAAGAACCATTTTTTAAATGTCCAAACAAATAAGGACGCCTCTAATGTATGTACATATGTAAATTTGTGTGTATGTATATATTACTAGTTGCCACCACTGACCGGGTTGCACTTCAATCGCCTCTATACAACTTGTTACAACGCTCACTTGTTTACGTACTCGAATGTATGTATGTACTTCATACTTATACTCGCACGAGTACATACATACTCGTACGTACTGTATAACTACAATATACTGCCGCAAATATGCGTTCGAATACCGGTTTCGACGTTTTCTTATTTACTTTCGCTTTTCATAAGCATTCTTTAAATAGCAATGAAATGCTTTTGTGACTTTTTGCTTTTCAGTTGTACAGACGTACATGTGTATGTACATATATATTTTGCACAGTTTGTATGTATATTTGCAAGCATGAGAAAATAGCCATTAATTATGTGGCATAAGGACAAGGCGGCGGCCACAATTGATGCAATAAAAAAATTGTGAGAATATTTCAACTCAAACGAACTTAGTAATTGTCAACGCTTATTCAGATATGAGTACCAATGTGGCTCCATAGAAGTCCAATATATTAAGAGGTATATCGGATTAATTTTTCC